GGCTATGGCCCTGCAGGGGCGTCATTGGCGCTCCGCGGTGCAGCTTGGCCTCTTCGACCTGACTGTTGAGCTCGTGGATTTCGGCGAGCGAATCTCGGTATGACTGGTTGAGCGTTTCATGCTCTGCACGTATCTTGGACTCGGTGTCCTTTACCTCCTGAAGCTCCGCACGAAGAGCAGCGATTAGGGCTGTCTGATCAGGACTGACGCTTGCAGATCCGGGAGTCACCTCTCTGACCGTTGCCGTGCCGATGGCGGCGGAGGCCGCGACAGCAGCAGCAGCGGCAGCCTCTGCCTCGCGCAGCTTATCCTCCAGGCGGCCTCTCTCAAGTTCGTGCGAGGCAGCAGTGTCATTCAGCTTGCCGCGCTCGCGAACCACATCGTCACGCTCGGCAACCGTCTCGTCCAGTCGACGCTCAAGTTCGAGCAGCTTATGATCGCGCGCATCGAGCTCTTCCAGGAGCTCCTTGTTCGCCTTGCCCGTGTCGAGCAGTTCTAGGCGCGCCGAGAGCTCCTTGTACGCTTCCTCCCGGCGAGCAATGTCGCTCTCGAGACGCTGCACTAGTGCTTGGAGCTGCGAAGTGGCTTCGTCCGCCTTTGCAAGACGAATCTCCAGGTCCTTGACGTACTGTTCCGTCGTAGATTCGGTCTCGCGCAAGCGAACGACTTCCTTGCGCAGCTCCGACACTACCTGCTCGTCTGCATCACCTTTGCTGGAAGCATTCTGCAACCGGCTCTCCAAGTCTCTGACATAGCCATCATTAGAGCTTTCACGGTCCTGCAACTTGCCCAGTCGCGCTTGCAGCTGAGCAATGACCGTTTCCCTCATCTCGAGATCTTGCTCTGCCGTCGCCGCTCGCGCAGTCTCTTCCGCCAGACGCGTCTCCTGATCGGCGATGAGATCCTCGGTGTGCGCGAGAGCAGCCTTCATCAGATTAATCTGGCCCTCGAGAGCATCCACCGTCTTTTCGTACTCGACGATGATGGGTTCTGCTGCTGCCAAAAAGTCCTCGTCGGCCTTGTCGGCCTCGCGGTCGCGTGTGAGCTGCTGAAGCTTGGTGAGCTCAGTAGTCAATTGCGTATTCTTCTGGCTAAGTGCTGCATACTTGTCCCTCCACTCAATCTCCTCCTTCTGATCGATGGCACGAAGAGCTGCCGCACTGCCAGGAGTGCCAGCTTTGGCGCCCTTGATGGCAGTCAGCTCCTTTCGAAGCTTGATCACCAAGTTCTGCAAGTGCTCGACGTCCTCCCATCCGGCTTCCACTTCGTTAAGCTCCGCCTTGTTCTTTATGTTGCGGGCCCGATTGGCGTATTGCAGGGTGTTGACCGTCTCGCTGACATTGTATTCGGTCGGCGAGACGCATGCAATCATGAGCGTGTGGGCATTGCCGCCCAAGCTGTCTTGAAGCAATCGAGTGAGCTTCGAGTCGCGATAGGGAATGTGGGTGGTCTTCTTTGCCTTTGCAGGATCTCCCAATGCCGAGATGACATTGCCGAGAGCGTGAAGCCCCGCGTTGATTGAGATGCCCTCCTTGGCTCTGTCTCCGACGGCTGCGGTGCGCTTCAGTCGTTCCGAGCCCGCAAGATC